GACTCGCCCGCTGCTCCCCTCAGCAGTGTACTTTGTTAATCTGCCTGTTCTGCTCCCCACTTTGTCTCTGGTGAATCCCCTCACCGCCCCTGGCCTGTACCCCAGTTCTGTATGAATAAATAAATAAAAATCTTTAAAAAAGAAAGCAAGAAAGAAAAAGTACGCAGCTCAGGTAGGAGAGGCAGCCCTTTGAAGTTCCCGGCCTGTAAACCTTGGGGTAATCCAACGTTAGACACTTACTGTCCCACTCCAATGAAATGATAAAATTGAAAATGCTTCAAAAGCTACAGTATTTTTACAGACAGCATTCTCTTCCCTCTCTCTGACACTAAGCTCTCACCATCAGGACACATTTCATATATTTTATGTGAGTAACAAATGCTTGTGGGAGTACTTAAGCTGTTAAAATTAGTACAGCTTCATGTCATTACAAGTAGCCTCAGAATTACATAATCATAAACCTCAAAAGTTGGAAGGTATCTTGAAAGTCAATCTCGTGACTCTTACCTCTCTTTTGGTGCAGACTGGTGAGCTTGTGCGGATCTATAAAGGTCACAATCATGCTGTGACTGTGGTGAACATCCTAGGAAAAGTGATGGTGACTGCTTGCCTGGATAAATTCGTTCGTGTCTATGAATTACAGGTAGAATTCAGATCCAGTGCTTTGCTTGAGTGCTTTTGGGAGATTGTTTGGTTTGGGTGTGTTTTTGTATGTGAAGGTGGGAGCTGGGCTGTGCGTCTATTTTTTAAAAAGGAAAGGTTGATCAGTGATTATCATGAAGTTAAGGGAAGTGAGAGGGCAGAATACAAAGAGAACCAAGTTCTAATTATGATCAAGATAGTATGGACTGAAGTTACAAATGAGTTTATAATATAAGGGCTTGCATTAAAGGTAGGGAGCCATGACCTAGGCGGAGAGCTGAATGGGCATGGCAGTGGTTGGGAAGTCAAAGGTGATAGAATTAGACTTTATATCAAGGTGGAGATTTTTGGTTAGTTGATTTTGAGATTTTCCTGTTAAGTTTTTGGTTTAGCTTCATAAATGGTGGCTTATTTTTCAGAACAACAAGCGACTTGAGATCTTTGAATGCCATGGCCCTCGGGCTGTCAGCTGTCTGGCCACAGCTCAGGAAGGTGCCCGCAAACTGCTGGTTGTGGGGTCTTATGACTGTACCATTAGTGTTCGTGATGCACGGAACGGACTGCTCCTCAGAACTCTGGAGGGCCACAGCAAGACTATTCTTTGCATGAAGGCAAGTGTCATTCAAGTGACTAGGAGTTAGTTGCCTTACACAAACAGGGGGGTTTGAATGACATGTCCCTATGTTCTAATCCTTATTTAGAATAGTAATTTTAAAAAGAACAAGGCGATTATAATTATTTTTCTTACACCTGGCTCACCAGTGGTTGTGCTATTTTTAACATATTAAAAATCTGAGAAACAGTGAAAGTGTATTTTATTGTAGAAAGTGGAATTACTTACTGCTCTTCTAGACTACTTCATAATCAGAGTGCCTGGTGGTAAGGATATACGTTTCCATTCAGAAAACATCTAAGAAGCTTTTTT